TAGAGGTGGTGAATCTCATATTGATGGGTGTAATGGGGTGTTAGACGGTGTTTTGAAGATATAGTATTATTGTAGCTGTACGGTTGTGGATTTGAGGCTTGCCGATAGAGGACGAGATAGAGCTTGAGGTTGAGTTGTGAAATAGTTTTTAGTTTATTAAAAAATATTAAAAGTTGAGCTGATGATGGAGCAATCTTCAGAGTATTTCTCCTCCTATATATGTCCTTTTCGACCCATACTGATCGCGAGCAACGTGAAGACCGAGATAATTTTTACATGTTACCCAACCCCAGCCTCACAGTGTAACCAATTCGAATAAAGATGCATCTAAACATAGCATTACCTCGTCGGCGCGTACATGTCGTTCGTAGGGCCTCGGCTATGTCCTTAACAGCAGCAGATGGATTCGGATCCTTCTGAGATATGTGTGAAAGGGTCCGAGATTCGGGGCCTATTTCTCATTATGCTCAGGGGAAAATATGTCAATTTAAAGTTACCCTCTGAATTATGCTTAAACGCCACTGTTTCCACGGACAGCTGCAACCACATTCATCGCCTTACAATTCAACGTCAGGATTACACGAGTGATTCCAACATGTCGCGCTTATACTTGTGGGCGCTTATCTCAATTAAATGTCAGAGTTGAAGAACTGCAGTTCGTACTTGGGAGGATGCAACATACTTTTCTTGATAGTTTCATAAACAAATTATTTCTAGATATAGAACCAACTATACAACTATACAACTTTATTGCCATTGGACATATATCTCGACCAAAAAAACGTGGGGGTAAGGATTAGCATGTGCATGGCATGTGACTGAAGTGTGCACTTCCAAGACCAGTATAGTAACGTAGGTGAAAAGTATGGCAGTATATAGACCGTTAATGAGTCCCAAGCTAGTTTTTGCAAGCGGGTCGCTCCTTATTTGCCCTCTACCCCTCGTACCAGATATTGGCAAGTTTGTAGAATTTTCTTATCAAGTGCAATGATTGCAGGGTCGAACACACAGAAAATATGTTATATTGATGGAATTTGTCTTACAAATTTATTAGAAACGAGTCTTTCTGGATTCTATGATCCATCTTGGATCTCGGAATGATTAGAGTTTACAGAATTCCTATCGGAAAACTGACTCAAAGCACTAGCTTTGTACTTGACACTGCCATGTGTTGGCTATGTTTGACATATCTTTTATGAGAATTGCTAAGGACCAAAGATAAGGGGAGAACACGATGTTATTAATGCAATTTACTTGCTTTGTTTGTATCTGTCATAACTACGGTCCCGCAATCCAGATGGAAGGTTGAGTCCTGACATTGCAACAACATTGTGGACTGCACAAGATGGGATAGAATCGGCATACATTAAGCAAATTGCAAGGCCTCATGTTGGAACATCAAAGAGGTCCTATAGTTCCAAGAGTGAAGATATATTGCACTGCATTTCTAGAAAATAAAACAGTCATACAATGCTGCAGTTATTAAGATTAATTATAACAATGATGTCCAAGCACCAAACCCCCAAAATACAGCTTTCTTCCCCTTAAAACACTACACCACTTTTTGCAGCGCCTGGATAAGTATCCTGAAGTCCTTCAAACAATGATTTTCCATCCATGCTTAAATCAGCAAAGGCTGGGCACCCAACAAGATCTAAGATTGATGTATCAAGAGCATCGGTCAATAATTGCAAGGGTACGGCAATTGTAGCAAACAAAGGCGAAAGAGAATTGGGCCCGAATGTCTTGACGACTTCAAGGGCAAAGCACATCAAATTATTGCCCCCCAAAAGGGTCTCGACATTGAGAACGCCACCGGTGACATTACTGATATCAAGACCAGTGAAAGTGTTTACTTTACCGGTATTGCCTCCAACGCTTGCTAGTGTTGGGTTTGCTACCATCCAAGCAACAATATCTAGGTTGAGTTGTACTAATCCGTAGTCGACAGGGATGCGGTACCAGTTGGAGGGTATTTGCTCACAGCCTTTCTTGTATACATATGTTCCATCCTCGGAGTAGACGCCGAACATAGTGCGCATTAATCCATGAGTCATGATTCCGTCCGGGTTCTCGGTGGTGTGGTTACTCAAAAGGCGACCAGAGAATGCATATCCAGCATTTCGTGCAATCATGCCGGTGTAGGGTCCGTAGTAAAAATAAGGGTTGGTAGCTATGCTGACTTTGAGACGTTCGGCGGCGCGTTTTCCAATATCTTCCATTGTGATGACTTCAGAATCGGATCCATTGGCGACTTGTAAGAATAGAGTCATGTTCATTGTCGATGCGTCTCCTGTCACATACAAGTCGTCTCGGGTATTCGAGGAATCCGCTTCGATCCAATTGTGGGAGTTGTCTAGACCACGAGGTGTTCCCAAAAGACCATCAAGGTTGTCGAGAATGTTAGAGACTTTCGGAGTGTAGCCTCCAATCGAAAACCCGGGGTTTAGTGAGATAGGGCCGCCGACACCGACCGTTCCCATTATAGCCAGGACGGTGATGAGCTCGATTCCCATTCCGAATACGGAATTTACACCAGCAATAATTTCTACCATTGAAGCGACACCATTATGAGGAATGTAGTTATGGTTTGCGAGCATATTCAATCCTGGACATGGACCTCGCTGGTCCCCATTGTCGAAGTCAGGTGGAACAAATACATGGTCTCCGGTGACTATCTTACTGTTAGTGATATTCAAAGTCGAATTCTAGGTCTGCAGTTTTACCATCGATGGGAGTGGTCAAAGAATCAACCAACAATCTTTTTTTGACTTCTGGGTGAGTTTCAACTTGTCTCTTCAAATTCTCGTACCAGCTGTTTCCCGGGGCTCTCTCAAAGATTTCGGCGATGCATTGAGAGTTGGAAATGCCAGGGCATTCGTGCACAAAAGTGGGAAGTAAAGAATGGACGACGAAAACTTCATCTTCGAATGTTAAGGAGTAACTGTGAAGTGGAACGATTGACACGACGAAATGTAACAAACCTTTTACAATTGAATGTTAGATGAGAAACTCATGACATATCATGAAATAGGATATTTTCCACTGGCTAGTCACATCAATCGAAACTTCGAATAGCTAGCCTAACCCGGAGGATAAAACGGGGAAACAAGGGTGTGTGTACGCGGATATCCATTATATTCTACTTGGAAGTTGTAGTCGAGCAAGAGTGGAAATCCAAATTGCTCAAATACTCCTCACGGCTTTGATGAGACACATGAGCGGTATTTGGATCGATAACAGACTTTGAAGTGATCGGCAGTGCCTTCATTGACAAGCATTAGGTCAACAAGCATAGGGCCTAGGTTACTCTAGTAGGTAATCTTTCCGTCAGGGAGCAAATCTTATAAGATTGATCTCGCAGATAGGGAAGTTAGGGGCAGTATACCCCAGTATCTTTGACTGCTTCAGTCTTGGAGGTCGAGGATATTCATTACTTGGGTACGTATACTCGAAAAATTGGAATGATTGAGAAATATGATACACCCATTGCGTTGGATGTAACATTACTTAGGTAGGCTCTACGTAAGCGAAAAAAACAGGCGGAAATTGAGTACTCTTTCAAGGGTCTTTTTTAATAAATTATAAATTCATTTCAAATTAAATATTGAAGTTTGAAAAAATCAAACGAAAATTTGAGTCTTCTTTGTACTGATATGTAGTCTTTTTATTATTTAATATTATATTGAGAAGAGATCTTAGTTATTGAAATTCTTTCGAATGGTGGTCAATTCCCGCCTGTTTTTTTTGCTTACGTAGAGGTAGGTTTGCAATATTGGGTGTAGCTATAGTAAAATTTGTCCAAGATAACCAGTAAAATCATGTGACTGTGGCCTAGCGCCGATAAACTCACACCCCAATGATCATAAACACTCCTTGTTTACTTTGGAAGCACCAATGAACTTGACTCCATATTACTCCTTTTCTTGAATTCTTCACCTCACATGTTTGGTAAAGATACTGATATACTTCAATCTCAACGACTAACGTACGGCAGCTGACAGCCGTGGAAAAGTTTATCTACTCCCGACCTCCTACTCACTCCCTACGCAACTTTAGTAAACGATTGGACGATAGCTTCCTTGTCTAGCATCAACCTCTCTAAGGCTTGTGCTTCCACAAACATGGCTGAGCAATGAGCATGGCACATACCCCGGGAAAACTTTTCACACCCATTCTCTCAATAGCCGAGTTCAGATCAAGATCGTATGGAATAGATGTAAATCCAACGGTCAAAGCAGCCCAACCATGTCGATTCCAATTGGAAGCATACACCTGAGTTTGACCGAAAGTCTAAACTCTATATTGGTAGATCATGGTACGATGGAAAGAAAGAACCGTTTTCCCAAACGTTTTCAGTTCCTCTATTTGAATTTCGAAGAATTATCGATACACACGAAGTACAGCCCCATTAGAATGTTTTGATAGCTCGAATGTTTCGTAATATTCTGTCGCAATTCGACGTCCCCGGTTGTGATAGACAATCATCTATGGAGTAGGGTGGTTCAAGCTTCTCGAAATATGCCGCACCACTGTTGGGTCAAATGCCTACTCTTCGTTGGCTGGATGAGCACTGTACTTGCTCGATTGGTAAAAACCCCAAGACAGTACCTTGCCAAGAAGCATGGATAGAATCCCCTCAAGGGGTTGACACGAGACTACGGATACAGTTATCCAAAACCCACTCACTTACCATGTCGGTCATTCTAACAGGTAAGGGATATGACGGCCACGACCGTTGACTAGAAGCAGAATAAATTATGGGGCCGATCAACGACAAACTTTGACATCAGCTTCAAGGTTGTTGGAGCATGGCATACTGTTTAATATTCGCAGGGTTATAGTACACGCACTTATACATGATCAGATTCTCCCAAGTCTACGATAGCGTTCGTTGTAGTTTTGTTTGACTTTTTGAATTCCTTCTTTTAATTTCGTACTTTACTTCGGTTAATACTATCGTTAATATTTATACGAACCAAAGGTACTAAGGAGTCATCATGAAGTTGTCGCTCAATATTATGGCTGTCATGGCCAGTTTGACCATGATTTGCACAGCACAGTCCTCGTTAACCCCCAGGGGTTCATCCGCCGCTCTTTTAGAGGCCGCAGAAGCATCATATCCGACTTGCTCGGTAAGTTTCATTGAGTACCTTGTTCTTGCTGGCTCCTCTGACGGCCGCCTCTAGCTAAAATGTATGGCAAAAGCTATTCCTACGTCTGGATGTGATGCGACAGATGTGGTGTGTCTTTGCACAAACGCTGAATTACAAGAGAGCATCACACTCTGCGCGATGCAAAGCTGTACTGTTTTTGAACTTTTAAGTAAGTTAGATTTGTCAGAATAATGAAGAAAATCCCTGCACCGAGCTGTCTCTAACCTTTTAAAGCTACCAAAAATGTTACCGAGACCATGTGTAGCGCACCGGTACGAGACAGGAGGAAAGACGGCGAGTATATTGGTGTTATTGGAGGTTGTGTTGCCTTGCTAGCCTTCTTTGACGGTTGCTGGCTACCGTTCTGAAAGTAAGGCAATGGGGTATGGATGACTGGGCAATGTGTGCTGTTGTGGTTAGTCGACAGCTTTCAACCTCAAACGTGCGACCTCAGCTAATGGAGTCTAGGCTTTGGCGACTCCTCCAACTGTTTTCTCTGTCATCTGCAAGTAACAATCATGAGCTTAAGTTATCATACTAATACAAATCACAGTGGCCAACAATGGTCTCGGAAAAGATATGTGGACATTGACAGCTGATGAAATCACAACTGTTTTATTTGTTTGTACACTTGATTCTGAAGTCATTAGCTAAGAGCTAACGTGAATCAGTACTATGTTCTCGGCGAATGTTTCTATCTTGCCGCAATGGCCATGACTAAAGTTACATTCTGCCTTCTTTTTCTTCGAGTATTTCGCGAGAAGCCCTTCATCTATTATGTTTGGGGCACACTCGGACTTTCTGTTGCATATGGTGTTAGCTTTGTGGCAGCAACAATCTTCCAATGCTGGCCGGTTAGCTATGGATGGCATCAATGGGATGGCTTGCACACTGGAACTTGTAACAACATCCATCTCCAAGGATGGCTGAGTTCTATTATCAACATCGTTTTGGATATTATAGTCATTGGCCTGCCACTGAACAAACTTTCTCAACTGGTCATGTCTCCAACCAAAAAAATAACTATTATGTTTATGTTCTGTAAGTTTGAATCTGCCTCCCACTTCGTAGGACTTTACTAACAGACCCTTTAAGCTCTAGGAATTTTGTAGGACTTCCTTCAATTGTTTCGTATTTCTTGTTTGCTAATTGTGTACAGCGTTACTGCAGTAAGCATCATACGTCTTCAATCGCTCATTCAATTTGCCAACACAACAAATATAACCTGTAAGTTTAACACTAGTTTTCTAGATCATCTTTACTAAATGTCAGTTTAGGGGACTACAGTCCAGCGGCATATTGGAGTACTCTCGAAATGCACGTTGGCATATTCTGCGGGTGCTTGCCAGCATTACGACCTCTACTGAATATGATAATGCCAAAATTACAGACAACTGCAGCAGTGAGCACTCAAAGAACTGCGGGGACAACTGGCAAGAGATCATTCATGAGCTCTAAAGCTTCAGCGCCGAAGAGGACCGAGAAGGGTGACTTCATTCCACTTGATGATGTCGATGCTTCGAGCACAAAGTTCTTGACCAGTTCTCATTGCAACGCTGTCTAAAGGCATTCCATTCATGGATTTTTTGTTAAAGAAGGTTGGGAAGTTTATTTATGAAACGCCGGCGTGCATTATGAGATAAATATTCCAGAATTGTTTTCCTTCGAAATTTGTTCTAATTCACAAGCGTTTGAACTGGGTCTGAGACTCTCCGAAGGACGCAAACGTAATGTACATATCTAATTATATCCCACAGCACGAGATCTGATTCGACAACAGTACCTCAATATTTTAAATCTCTTCATTTGGGGCTGGATTTTTCTTCGTCGTTTTAAATAGACAGTCTTGGCCAAACCTTCTTGGCAGATGAGCCTCACCATTGCTGAGGGTCTACATATATTCATCTTTGATTTGTCAATCTTTTTTCATCAAGATACTAATGTGCACCACACCGCTAACTCTGACATCACAATTATATCCCGACACTAAACCCCCTGCGCTAGCAGAATTCGCTTACTCCGTAGACCTATTCTCGGACCCCCATAAAGAAGCTTTGACAACCTTTGAGCTGTTAAAGAGGAAGATCGGCAGCGATTGCCAGGCATTTTGCCAAAAAGGGACTTTTAGTAATTACGGCTAATATAATTCGCATTTATATCCAAGATGAACGAGCACATCATTACTCTAATCATTGAGGTCGAAAATTGAAGAGTCTGGGCTCCCATGCAAACTCCAATCAAGCTTTTGCGGGGCGTATCACCTAAAATTTCAGGGAAAATGTACTTAGAAACGTTTCGAGAGGGGAAAGACAAGCATCTCATATGCAAATTTTAGATCTCTACCGGTTTGGGAAATTGAATGCCTTATGCTTATGTCTTTCTCCACTTTTGAATTTCATTACCAAAATCATATTGGGAATTCCTCATGAACATCACGACTGCTGGGTCAAGGTGTCGCGAGCATACACTGTGTATTCCGCCATCCAAACATCTGGTAGTGATCTTCGCACCTCCTTTATGTTGCGATCCCTTCGGGGAATTGTATTAACGATCATGAAGAGTAAAGGGTGAGAAATTGCGAATACAGTCCCATTAGAAGTGGTTCAGTGGAGGGCCTCGACAATATATAAAGTTCAGTTCAGCATCGTGGACAGTCTCTCATCACACACACAGTCACTCCTTCATTCCTTGGCAATTGTCTTTGTTTTCTTTGGTTTCATTTGATCATTTGGTAGTACCATGTTTCCCAAAAGATCTTTGAGCCTTGTCGCTCTTTTCAGTCTTACGACTTCTGCATTGTGAGTGCCGGAATCTCCATAAGTATACTCTGGCGGCTGACTAACACGTTTGTAGCAAGTCGCAACATACACATCAACATCTTCACCAACGTACCGCGAGCGCCACATCGAGTTCCGCGAACATTACTCTTGATCCCTATGAGTATGTTGTCGTAGGAAGTGGGCCGGGAGGTGCTCCTGTAGCCGCCAGACTTGCTCTAGCAGGTCACTCAGTCTTGCTTATTGATGCTGGAGAGGACCATGGAGATGATATTGAGATGCAAGTTCCTGCATTGCATGTTTTGGCTTCAGAGTACGATCCAATTCGATGGGATTTCTTTGTTCAACATTACGCAAATGAGACCAGACAAGCAAGAGACTCGAAGATGACGTACCAGACAACTGACGGAGACTTCTATGTTGGTCTTGACCCTCCTGAAGGTAATTGAGTTTCCTCTTGTCGAGTTTAAGTCGGGATTTTCTGGACCTTGCTAATCAACATCCTAGGCGCAACTCCTTTGGGAATTCTTTACCCAAGAACCGGAACTCTTGGTGGATGTGCTGAGCACAATGCTTTGATCACCATCTTGCCCCAAGAAACTGACTGGCAATACATCCAAAACATAACCGGCGATGATTCCTGGGAACCATCAAAGATGCGCGAATACTACAAAAAGCTCGAATCGTGTCACTACCTCAGCACAGACGTCACAGGCCATGGTTTCGACGGCTGGTTGCAGACCGAAGTTACTAACCCAGAACTCATTGTTCAAGATCAAAAGGTTCTTTCGCTCGTCATTGCCGCAGCTACAACTATGGGCAAGGGTCTTCTTGGAAGCTTGATCACCACAGTCACTGGATTGGCTGAAGTTCTCGCCCTGGATATCAACAATGATTCGCCAAATCGTGATCACGTCGATGCTTTGTACCAGGTTCCTCTCGCTATGAAGTTCCCAGAATACTCTCGTTCTTCTCCTCGAGACTTTGTCTGGAGCGTTGCAAATGCTACTCACTCGGATGGATCCAAGAAATACAAGTTAGACGTGCAACTCAACACTCTTGTGACCAAGGTTCAATTCAACACTACTGCTGCTAAACCAAGAGCCACCGGAGTCGAATTCATTGTTGGAAAATCTCTCTACCGCGCTGATCCCCGAAGCAAAAATGTTGACGATTCGGAAGGCACCTACGGAAGTGTTACCGCCACCAAAGAAGTCATCGTCTCAGGTGGTACATTCAACACACCTCAAATTCTCAAATTATCCGGTGTTGGTCCCAAGGCTGAGCTCGAGAAATTCGGTATTCCAGTTATTGTTGATTTACCCGGTGTAGGCACCAACATGCAAGATCGTTACGAAGTTGGTATTGTCGGAAACTCGACATCCGACTTCTCCTTACTCAAAGAATGTACTTTCCTCAACGGCACTGACCCCTGTCTCGAACAATGGGAGACTCTTCCTTTGCTCAAGGGTGGATACTCTACCAACGGTATCGCTCTCGCATACCCTAAGCATTCCTCCGTTGCAGACGGAGTCCAAGATCTCTACCTTGGCGGTGTTCCCGCTTACTTCAACGGATACTTCCCCGGCTACTCCGTACACGCGCTCGCAAAGCGCAATATCTGGACCTGGTTGACCCTCAAGGCGCACTCGCGCAACAACGCCGGAACCGTCAATTTGAAATCTGCCGATCCCCGTGATACCCCCGAAATCGTATTCAACTATTTCGACACCGGTGTTGGTGGTAACGAGGATCTCCAAGCTGTGTACGAGGGAATGAAATTTGGAATCAAAGCATTCGAGAACCTCATTCCGCTCGATGGCTCCTTTACCCGTATCTGGCCAGATGAGAGCATTACTTCTGAGGAAGATCTTAAGCAATTTGCGCTCGATGAGGCTTGGGGACATCATGCATCGTGCTCTTGCCCTATTGGAGCTGATGATGATGAAATGGCCGTCTTGGATACCAACTTCAAGGTCAGAGGTGTCGATGGATTGAGAGTTGTTGATGCCAGTGTCTTCCCAAAGATTCCGGGCATGTACATTGCACTATCGATCTACATGATCAGTGAGAAGGCTGCGGATGTAATCCTTGCCGAAGCTAGCTCTTGAGATGATACTCGAGCAGGACTGAGGGTGTAATCTGATAGTAATGTATAATTTTGTAATTTGAAAAGATTTTAGTGGAACCACTGTATATAGAAATAAAAACGCACATATCTTCTCATTCTTCACGCCCCTTCATAATATGGATTGATCTTGAATCGATCTCTGAGTTCTTGAGAAAACCTGCTCGAAGACTTCATGGATTAATATCATTGCACATGTATGAAGCCTTTGTGGTTTAAGTATTCATTCACATGTTTCTGCAAAAGTGCTGGGCTTTCGAGTAAGCTGTTTGCATGACTTCATGCACACCTACTACTCCCTAAAAAATTAAAACAGAGTAACAATTCAGCTAAAGCACTAAGATGAAGTCTGCCACGACCTCTCCTTGATTGTTGTATCCACATACTGAAAGCCCGACGAATAATATTCGACATCCAACACTCCTCGAGTAACTGATGGTCCAGCCCCAAAGGATAGATTTATCCAGCGATCAGGTTTGAAGTCGTTTTACCATCTCTCAGGACGCCATATTTTAGTATGCTCTCCCCAGAGATTCTTACGTCGAGCCATTGACGCAAACCAGAGTACAACCATTCCTTGCATGAAAAGAAAGGCCTCAACTGGACGAGAAAAAAATCGCCGAATCCAGTTATTTGTATGATATAACACGATAAAAGTAAAGTTAATTATTTATATTATGAAAGAAGATATGGTACCATCAGTAGTGTCATCTATCTCGATGGAATTGAAGGTTGCGCCCACCTCACTCTCGAAGCTACGGCCAACATTACATTCACTGGTCCAAACCAGCAAGCATCTTGCATCGTCGAAATACAATCTGAACCTTTAGAAAGCCCCATTTTCCATCTCATCAGCTACGAAACCATTATCTTTACCCCCCAAGACTTCTGTGTCTATCATTCACTACGCACGCTCAAGCGTTCCTAAAGTTGCAGTCCTATCAACCAATTCCTGGCACTGACCTTATGGTCCATCAGTCGTTGAAATATGTAACCTACACGAGCAGTTCCTTCATCATAAATCCCAATACATACAATACATATCGCTCCTCAACACCATCCAACCCAGCTCACAAACTTCCACCGACAGCGATCTAATAATTCCCTCCACAACCAATTCGGTACCAAGCTCTAAAAGCCTCTTCCTAAGCGCATAATCCTTCTCCATCACTTGCAAATTTCCGAAAGCTTTCTCGGCCAACAGTATATACAAGATATTCCTCACATTGACATCTTTCCGAGCAAAGGTTTCTGCAAGCAAAAGGGCCGCAAGATGGAAATCTAACCCTGTATTACATACTTGACAATAATTCTACGCAGATTTCGTAACTTGGCATCGAACAAACATTGAAGAGTGTCGTTTATATAATATCTGGTTGTTTGTCCACAGTCGGGTTTGGTGTGATCAAGAACTTCATCGGCGCTGAGACTTTCAACGGGATCGATGGGTTTCAGGCTAGTAGTAGGTAGAGCGGTCATTCTGAAGCTTGATTGATTGATTGATTGATTGAATTTACGTCCACCTTCAGTCTAAGACTATATAGGACGGCTAGGCTTGATGAGCCTAACAGATAACTTTTTGATTTACAATATTGATTATAATCTTATTAGGAAAATGAAAATAAATGCTAAGGAATAGTGTTTGCTTATTATATATAT